ATAGTAACCACCCAGAACATCCTAGCAACCAACACCTTGGCAACCATATAGTAACTATCCCAAACATCCTAGCAGCCAACACCTTGGTAACCATATAGTAACTATCCATAACATCCTAGCAGCCAACACCTTGGCAACCATATAGTAACCAACTAGATCATCCTATCAACCAACACTTTGGCAACCATATAGTAACCATCCAGAACATCTTAGCAACCAACACCTTGGCAACCACATAGTAACCACCCAGAACATCCTAGCAACCAACACCTTGGCGACCATATAGTAACTGTCCATAACATCCTAGCAACCAACACCTTGACAACCATATTGTAACCACCCTGAACATCCAAGTAACCAACACCTTGGTAACCATATAGTAACTATCCATAACATCCTAGCAGCCAACACCTTGGCAACCATATAGTAACTATCCATAACATCCTAGCAGCCAACACCTTGGCAACCATATAGTAACTATCCATAACATCCTAGCAGCCAACACCTTGGTAACCATATAGTAACTATCCATAACATTCTAGCAGCCAACACCTTGGGATCCATATAGTAACCACCCAGAACATCCTAGCAACCAACACCTTGGTAACCATATAGTAACCACCCAGAACATCCTAGCAACAAACACCTTGGCAATCACATAGCAATAACCTAGAACATCCTAGCAACCAACACCTTGGCAACCATATAGTAACTATCCATAACATCTTAGCAGTCAACACCTTGGCAACCATATAGTAACCAACTAGATCATCCTATCAACCAACACTTTGGCAACCATATAGTAACCATCCAGAACATCTTAGCAACCAACACCTTGGCAACCACATAGTAACCAACCAGAACATCCTAACAACCAACACCTTGGCAACCACATAGTAACCACCTAGAACATCCTAGCAACCAACACCTTGTTAACCATAAAGTAACTATCCATAACATCCTAGTAACAAACACCTTGGCAACCACATAGTAACCAACACCTTGATAATCACTTAGTAATCACCTAGAACATCCTAGCAACCAACACCTTGGCAACCATATAGTAACTATCCATAACATCCTAGCAACCAACACCTTGGTAACCACATAGTAACCTCCCAGATCATCCTAGCAACCAACACCTCGGCAACCACATAGTAACCAACACTTTGGCAATCACATAGTAACCACCTACAACATCCTAGCAACCAACACCTTGGCAACCATATAGTAACCATCTAGAACATCTTAGCAACCACAATCTTGGCAACCACATAGTAACCACCCAGAACATCCTAGCAACCAACACTTTCACAGCCATATAGTAACCACCCAGAACATCCTAGCAACCACATAGAAACCACCCAGAACATCATATCAACCACATAGTAACAATCCATAACATTTTAGAAACTACACAGAAACCTCCAAAAACACCACCACAACTACATGGCAACCACCAAAAACACCTTAGGAACCACATAGAAACCACCCATTACATCATAGCAACCACATAGCAAGAACACATTCAAAACTACATAGCAACCACCAAGAACATCCTAGCAACTACATAGCATCCACCAAGAACACCTTGGCAACTACATAGTAACCATTCATAACTTCCAAGCAACAACCCAGAACACCTTATCAACCACCCATAAACATCCTAACAACCACATAGGAACCAACAAAAACACATTAGCAATCGTATACATGGTAAACATTTTTTTTTTTTTTAAAGTTGTAAATGAAACAAAGATTATTGGAGTCGGCTTTAAAAGAAAATACTATTTCAGGCTTTCTACTTCAAAATTTCTAGTTCATCAAATTCAATGTTCTACTTGTCAGTTATTTGTAAAAATTTAGTAACAATTTCAGAGTGAAAATTGTTTCATAGTAAATCTACACCATTTTTTTCAGTGTAGTAACTAACTACACAGAACATCCTAACAACCAATATAATAACTGCAGAAGCTGATTTCCTTGTGACAGTTTAGAGCTGGGCAAATGAGTGTTTCAGCTGAGCGTGTGTGTTATTGGTACATGTTAAAGGCGTTACGACCGTCCTGACAATGACCACGCTGATGATGGGCGCGCGGACGTCTCTGCCCAATGCCAACTGCTTCATCAAGGCCATCGATGTGTACCTGGGCATCTGCTTCAGCTTCATCTTTGGAGCGCTGATAGAGTACGCCATGGCCCACTTCTGCACGCTACAGCATCCAGACTACAACAACGCACTCATGGTAAGACAGGATCATCATCATCATCATAGTGTTCATCATCGTCTGTGCTGTTTTCTAAGGTAAGCATCATTATTATTGCCCATACTGTACTTTGAGTCTTAAAGGGATAGTTCACCCAAAAATGAAAATTTACTCACCCTCAGGCCATGCAAGATGTAGGTGACGTTTTTTATAGTAGAACAGTAAAAAAGATGTTTAGCTGAAACCGTGGTTGGTGATTCATAAAATGCAACTCACCAGCTGCCCGTCTTTGAGAATAAAAAAAGCATATCAAGGAACGCAAAATTAATCCCAGTGTCTCCTGACGATATATTGAGGCTTTATGAAGCGAAACAATTGGTCTGTGCAAGAAACTGAACATTATTTACAACATTATTACCTGTAATCCAGAGCCTCAGGCAAATGGGAAAATATGATTATTTTCTGCGAACTTTTGAACAGTTTGTTTCAATGAACTGGTTCATTTCACTAGTTTGTTTATGTAATTATGCAATGATGTAACGTATACTCAATTATATTATTAAAGCACCAAATAATGATGTGAAATGTGGATGTTTTACTTGTCTAAAGCATATAAAGTAAATAAACTTGTCTTCATCAGCTCATCTTTTAACATAAACAAAGAGAAATTTCAAAAACTTTAATTTCGCCCCTTCATTCGAGTGCTGGGTTCACGCATGTGCATATCAGCGGCTCATCAGTCTTTAGTCTGAGTCGAAACTGTTTCCTCAGTTCAGTGACTGTTGGAGGAACTGGAGCGCTGAATGATTCATTCATCACAGGATCAGATACACTGCTATTTCGGCTCATTTCCAGTTGGAGTGACTGTCAGGCTTCTGAAAGTGAGTTTTAATTGAGTAACTTGAGCCGTGAACTGTTTCAGACGGTTCAGTCGGATTTGATGAACTGGTTCAAGTAGGTCACAAAAAAAAAAAAAACCATGGCTATTAATTTTGTGTTAATTCTATTCTCAAAGATGGACAGCCACTAACTTGCATTTACTGAATCACCAAGGACCACGGTTTCAGCTAAAAATCTTCTTTACTGTTCTGCTGAAGAAAAAAAGTCACCTACATCTTGGATGGCCTGAGGGAGAGTAAATTAACAGCAAATTTTCATTAAAGTCCCTTTAGAAACATTCATAATTTCTTAATAAAATGTAAATTATAGTCATTATTGTTATTGTCATCATCATTGTAATCGTTTATTGTTCATCTCAACATACTTATAGTCTTATTAAATTTCATGTTAAATTTCATTGCTCATTTTCTCTTGTCTCCGTGTTTTCTCTGTCAGTACGGTCATCACATGCACGAGTGCGAGGAGGAGATGAACGGTATCCTCACCACCATCGCCAGAGATTCTTCACGGCTAAAGCGGTGCAAAGACGCTCCGGCACCCGCGCCCACCGCCGCCGGAGAGCCTGGCCTCACACCCTCCAGCCCGACCGCCAGTGAACCCAAGACCGCCGAGGTCCCGTCGGAGCTCTTTAGCCGCTGTGCCAAAAACATCTCCGTCCTGAGGAAGATCCTGAGATCCATCAACTGCTGTCATGTGGAAAACCCACATTATATAGACAACTACTCGCGGTTAACCTTCCCACTGTCGTTCATCATCGTTAATCTGCTCTACTGGACCTACTACCTGTACTTTTAACCAGGGCATCATGTTGAATCATTTCTGTGTGTTAGTAAGTACTATAGTGTGTGCGCGTGTGTCTGAAAGACCAGTAGAGACTCAACAGAGAAGGAGAATAATTAGGGTTGCACCGATACTACATTTCTCAGCAGATACCAATAGCCGAATATTCAGAATGATGTTTGCCGTTACGATAGCTGATTATTCAGAATGAAATTTGCTGATACCGGTAATAGATAATTCAGAATGATATCTCTCAGTACTGATTATTCAGAATGATATCTGCAGATACCGATAGCCGATTATTGAGAATGAGATCTGCTGATACTAATATCCAATTATATAGAATGATGTCTGCCGATACCAATAGTCAATTATTCAGAATGATATCTGCCAATACCGATTATTCAGAATGATTTCTGCCGATACCGATTATTCAGAATGAGATCTGCTGATACTAATATCTGATTATATAGAATGATATCTGCCGATACCAATAGCCGATTATTCAGAATGATATCTGCCAATACCGATAAAAATACTGATAGGCAATTATTCAGAATGATATCTGCTGATACTAATATCCGATTATATAGAATATATAATATATATAGAATATATATATGTCGATAACAATAGCCGATTATTCAGAATGATATCTGCCAATACCGATACAAATACTGATAGCCAATTATTCAGAATGATATCTACCGATACTGATAGGCGATTATTCAGAATGATATCTGTCGATACCAATAGTCAATTATTCAGAATGATATCTACCAATACCGATACAAATACTGATAGACAATTATTCAGAATGATATCTGCCGATACTGATAGACGATTATTCAGAATGATATCTGCCGATACCAATAGTCAATTATTCAGATTGATGCCAATACTATAGATCTATAATCAGCATTTGTGCTATAATCTCCATTACTACATTTACCATAGCACTTACAATGGCAGTAAACAAAGCAGCATTTAAAAGCCTAAATGCCAATTTTTTTAATTACTCAGTAAATCCCTGTGAGTCGCTTTTTCTGTATGGAAACTGCCATATGTTTATTTTTTGACAGATGCTGTTGACGGAGATTAACTTGCATTGAACATAGTGAGGAGACGTGATCAGTATCCTTATTGTCCCATATATGAATCTCACTGATAGCGTCATCGTCAGGTTGGAAGTTTGTTGTGGCTGATGGTGGCTATTCAACCCTGGATCTTCACAATGGTTCCCATGATTAAATCTTCTGAATAATTAAAGATAAACTGAGGAAAATGCATGTGAATTTTAGCATCAGATTACTGGAAATCTGATTTTCTGACTTCACATGTGGCTGAGGATGAGCAGACTAGATCTTAAAGTCAACATGAAATCAAAATTCAGTCAACTTTTCCATTGAAGTCATCTAGGCTGTAGACTATTGGATAATGTTAATCTTAACCAGTAGTCAATTATTTAGTTGTTGTTTTAGGCTGCTGTTCTAGCTAACGCAGCCTTTCTGAAATATTGGTTATAATTAACATTTAATGCTGATAAATGTTAATATAATAGAAGTTACAGCAAAAATAGCAAATAATGATGGATTTGATAAAGAAGCCTCACGGCTGGTATACAAGGAGATCCTCTGGAGCAGAGTTTCCCAAACTAATACAGTAATTAATGAAATCATAAAAATGTCAAATAAAAATGGATAAATAATTTGAAAATAAAAACAATAAATATAAAACACTTACTAAAAAATTTAATATTAGTTTACCTGCATGTCTTGTGACTATTAACCAACATCAGAGAACCATGAACATGCAAATGTGTTGTTAAATTATTGAAATCTTAAATTATTAATAAATGTAATTAAATCTCAGGGGACTTCAACCAGATAATTCATCTCAAAGGGGTTCGGCTGGAAAAAAAAATGGATGAATTTGACCTTCAACCTTCACCCTTCACGTATGTTGACTTTAACATCCTCAATCACTGTAGGTTATATCACAGAAAAAATGGGGCGAATTTTAGTATTTGAAGGTGTGTGAATGTGATTGTTGGAAACTGTCAGTGAATATGATTTATGTGGATTTGTGTGTGTTCATCATTATCGGCTGGGAGTTGTTAAAATGCTGAAAAATATTATCAAAAAGGGCCTAACAAGTTGATATCCTAAAGGTGTAGTTCGTTCAAAGAGGACAGCAATGTCGTTTACTCACCCTCACGTCCTTTGAAAACCTCTATGACTGTTCGAATCTCATTTGCGTTTGCGGTCAATTCAAATATGATGGCAGGTTTTACATAATTTGTGTGTCTCGTCCTTGATGTTTGGGCTGAAATGATTAGTCGATATTATTGACAATGTCGATCATAAAATATTTTTGTTGTCGAATAGTCGATTGATCTCATATGACCTAATGTAGGGGCCTGCAATAATGAGGTTTGACCAGTGTGACGCTGTAGCGCAAGACTGTAATTCAGCCCTCCCGCATGCAATCCAATAGAAGTAAACACGCTTATTAGACATGCAATCGAAGCCGAACCAGTAGAGTGTGGAAATGTTTAAAAAAAAAAAAAAAAAAAATGCTGTCATGTGTAAAGGGCCTGATATACTGACGGCGAAGTTCTTTTGCATTCTTACTTGCAGCTTACTGTTTTTCTTGCTCGTTTCCTTTCAATAACAAAATAAACACAGCAAAAATGACAGCGGTGAGAAAGCAGCAGTTAAGAAAGCATCATATATAGTGCACGTTTGTTGTTGATTTGTCGCCTTTATTTATACAACACTTTATACAGTAGACTGTTTTAAAGCAAGCAGCTTTACAGCATTAAACATGAAGAAACAGTGTGTGTCGCTTTCAGTTAGAAATACAACTTGATTTTCTGCTATCATGCAGCTCTATATGAATATGTATAGAATATGTGCAGTATAACTCAATATTTTAGCGAATCGCAAAAGCTGAATAATCGACCAAAGCCTACTGATTAATCAGTGAAATACTTGACGATTAGTCGATTAATCCTTCTAATAATCGTTGATCAAAATAATTGTGTGTCGCAGCCCTACTTGACATCTAAACACAAGTGTGAACAAGGTTTGAGAGCTGTTGGAAACATGAGGGTCAGTAAATAGTGATTTTTAGGTGAACTATCCCTTTAAGCACAGCGACTGCTCTCCTTTAGTCTGTTTTTATTCACTTGTGTCCGTGTTTTCCACACTGTAATGCCTCTAACGTGTCTTCCTCGCGTGTCTGTGGTTCTCGAGTTTGAGTTACGGTGTTGAGGGCAGAAAGAAGCCATTGCTACCAGTTTATTGCTTCCATAAATCCTCCGGCCTCGGCCGCTTTCTTGCACATTATCGATGGATTGCAGGGGCTGTGCAAACTCTTTATATGACTTGGCTTTAATGATTCAGAGGTCTTTGTGGACTCTATACAGGACGGATACGGACCGGACCAAAGGCCATGGACTGCGTGTGGCGACCGATGCTAAACTGTCTGGAAACATTGAATTTTTTGGGACGTGCATCTGTGCATTAAAGCTCTTGGATTCAGCGACAGCGGCCCGTACTGAACTGGATTGAACACTTTGGGTTATGGTTTTAAATATAGTATTAAAACTGATGTATTTTATGAATGGATGAATTTTCCTCTCTGGACCTCGGTTAGGTTTTTGAAACTGATTTTTATTTGGGATTGTTGATGCTCTCAAATAGATCTGCTATTTTTGTAACTTTTAATTGGCTTCATTTAGATGTTTTAAGCGTTTGCCTTCGGCATGCAGTCGGATCCTTAATTTCACGTCGAATGCCTTCCGTTCAAAGTTTAATACTACAAAGTGCTTGATTTTCCATTTAATGCATGTTTCTTTACCACTTTAGGGTAATATTCAGTGTAATAATACATTAATATTGATGTAAATTTGCATTTATGGGACTTCTTTGTGTTTATTCGTAGGTTGTTTTTAATTTGCCAAGTTGAGAATTAATGCAATAACTCGTCATTTACTGTATATGCATATCAGGCTTATTAATCATTAACTAAAACTAACACCATAAAAAAAAATTTAAAATTCAGTAGGCCTTCAGTATGTTAACTGAAATTATATATATATATACATATATATATATATATATATATTATTATTTTTATTTTTTTTTTAACTAT